AGAAGACGGACAGCTTCACAACGATTGTACTTTGCGGCGCACGTTGCTGATAGAGCCGTGAACCCAGACTGCCCAAAACAGGCACGCTGAGTGTCAAATACCCGCCAATTTGGTGCAAATGCCAACCGAAATACTGCATGGGCATGCCATCCAGCATCCCATACAGCTTCAAAGGTGCTTACAGTCACAAGACACCATTTTGCAATGAGGCGATCGTACGTGAGAAAGGAAACGGAAGAAATGAGGAAGCACACGAGATTTAGAAAAAATGTTATTAGATATAGAATTAGCGGCATCGAAATCACAATGAAGCACAAAGAAATCGTGGTTTTCCGTCGCCTGTCACCTTATCTTTCCTGTCAGTGTCTGGAGCTGCCTGCAGCAGCACCTCAACAACGTCGCAATGGCCTCTGTTGGCTGCCAGCATCAGCGCAGTTTCTTCTTCCTGTGTAACAACCAAAGTAGCTGAGAACAGTCTGTGTTGCACGACTTGCAGCAGACCTTCTGCCTCAGAAGTGCCACAATGGCCAGACCGCCTGTCGAAATTGTTTGGCGATTTGTGAGCACGAAATCCAGAATCCTGGTATTTCACTCCCGGTGAAGATTTCCTCAAAACTTGAGGAACATCTTCGATAGCCATGATACTGGTAAAGGTTCTGCTTAGAAAGCGGAAAAGATGCAAATCACTGAAATTTATACAGCGTGACGTATTGCGCCCATAAAATCCGAATATTTATGAGTTGCGTTTGCTAGATACAGAAACCTTCACAGCACGTCCACAGCGTTGTGATTCACTTTCAGCAGAAATATGCTTGCAATTTAGATATTTGTGAGCGTTGTACTAATCTGCTATGCACCCCTTATGCCCATATCATGGAGGGCGAATATTGTCTTGCTACACTTAACATGTATTACCGCGAGGCGGTCTCCACATTGCCCATACAGGCCGACCATGTGCAATTAACCGACGGAGGTGGGACCATCAATCCATATCCACAATTAGCTAACTTGCAGATACTAAGACCGTTTGTCCCCGAAATAGCATCATGCTGATTGCAGATGGACGGGCAGTCTGCAATTAACAGGCAAGGTGCTATATATATGACGGGAGGTCTTGCTAAGGGGCGTTGCACCGCAGCGGAAAGGGGGCCTGGGCTGGCTTGCCAGAGTTTTGGGTTCTCGTCTAGGACAGTTTGCGAGAGCGGCTGGGCACTTGATAGAAGCGTCGACTGGGCAAATGGACGGATGGCAGAGATGTGGGTATGGACACCCATCAGGGTTCTCTCCTTAGTGTGTTTGTCTGTGAACCTATATATGTTCATATAGGTATATATAGGTACATATATAGGTATATATAGGTACATATATGTACATTTTCGTTCCTTGATGTTGTGGGGCGGGGTTCTTTGCCGATCAATGTGAGGTCAGCGTAGACCGCCAGCAATGGAATGCTGTCTGACTATCTGAGTTCAGCAGAGACATGTGACATGACCAATATGTCGAATTTTCGCGTTGCCTGTAGGTGTGTCCATTCATCTGTCTCTTGCTGTGAATTAGCTGGTGTCTGTCCACTAATTCATGGGGGGCCAGTCCATTCGCACAGTTGTGGACGGACACTGAGACCATCCTGGCATATCTCAGCAACAATAGTGCTGTTTGTAATGTTCAAGATCTCAACAGAGAGTAATGGGTGTTGCGCGCTGAGTTCTCTGTGTGAAAATCTTCTGACTCATACATCCTGATCTTTCTTTTGTGTTGCTTTAAGCGACTAGACCTTTGGAACGGAGGCGGCAATGTCATATCGTGCTCATCAGCTTCTTGGCTATTCCCGATTCGTTGCAATCACCCTTTTGCATATTTGTATTAACACAATGCCATTCTTACATGTTCAATATCTTGTATACTTTAGGTATTCTCATAGCAATAAATGTGCATTTATTGTGCGTGCACTGCTTCATAATTGCGTGAACACAAACAACTATTTGGCATGCAAGATCTAGTACTTACAGGATATTGCAAAGACTCGACTTTGTACAAAATATTTGATCACATTGCTATTGTCTGCTGACCTGACAGAGTACCTTGTCGGAAGCAGATCCTTACCTGCGTACGGATGGCATCTGGGTGAACACCCAAACTGAGGACGTGTCGAACTCCGTCTTTATAGCCATGTTTGGCAGCTTCCAAATAATCGCTTTCATCTTCCTGCTGAATCGGCGACAGTGAAATAACGGATAGTGGCACATTGAAAGTTGGAGATCGAAAAATGTGCAGCGCTTGCAAGTGCAGATTGATTTCTTTCTCCTGCCGATTCACAAGACAAAAGGATGCAAAAGCGAGGCAGAAGCGCAGCAAGCTGACGAAGCCAGTCGTTTTGCCTGTTTATTCACGGTAGGTCTCATATACGCCTATGAATTCTTATACCAGGCGAAAAGAGAAATCCCACCTTGGAAATTAGCTCGGTAGGATGATCATTTGGCATTTCTTTCGGCACAATCACCTCATGTACATGTACAACATTCCAATGTGTCAATCTCCAGCACAAAAGTACGGAAAAGCAGAAATGATCGCAAAACGAGGAGCTGAAGTCAGCAGCACTGTAGGGCAACGAATCATTTGTGCGATTTCAGCTCCCAGAGGAATCCACCAAGAGACACAAATTAGACATAGAATCATCTGTGTTGTTGATATTTACAGATCCACTCGACATTGCAGTGATTACTCGCAACAATGGTGGCTTCCCTCCATGCGTTTGCAAGCACTGCTCTAGTCTGCATCTCAGCTCAGCACACCGCGCTGGCATTTGAATTGCAACTACACATGCAAACAGTTCTAGATCTAGAGTGAAAAACAGGAAACATAGTTGGATCCACACTAACATGGGAATGGGGAGGAGAGAAACACACAACGTTGGCAATTTCACAGTACGCAACAACATTTCCATGGATGCTTTAGGTAAACAAGAAGTGCAGCATCTCTAAGGATTACCATATAGTGAAGGTCGATTATATATTGAATACACGTGCTGAAAACAAGTTTTCCACTTGCCACGCTCATCGGTGAGATACCTTTCACAACATTGCCACATTTCCACACTATCACTGCCTTGTTTCAATTTGAGCGCGTGGTGGTAGAAACTGACAGCAAAAACTCACATTGAAAGCTCACACAAGTTGTCGGCCTCACAAATCGTTGCTGTTTTAGGGAAGGAAAAATGTTCACAGAGCACCTACCATATGCCGCCGATAAAGACTTTGAGCAATATATACAATCACAGCCACAATCACAGCCACAGCCACTGCAGCGACCAGATTCTGTGAAATAGCAAATCACCATCAAGTCATTGAATGTAAGTGTACTCCAAGGATCTCATATATGCAGGTAACAATTCGTGAACTCAATTTTAAGATTTGTGAACATTAAAGTGCCTCTCAGCAAGGACAATGTTGTACCGCATGTGGAGCTTGACAGTGTTAAAACAACTAGATTGCGAAATCTGCCCCAGGAGCCATGTTGTTACCTTGATGATAGTATCGCTGCTGCATGCAAACGCCACAAGTTGAGAAACACATCGATGACTTTCAATGCAACCAGCAATGTTTGTGAAAGCGACACAAATCTAAGTCAGGCACTGCAATTTGCGACTAATTCACATTTAGAGAATGATATTAACCATGCAGGAGACACATGCCAATGACTAGTGATGCCCCTGAAAGGTGTTGATTTAAGGCATTAATGAAAAGTTGAGCTCTCGATTTATACATAACAAAAGGAAGGACAACATACCTTTGTGAACTTATAACTTGTCATTGTTAGCATGATGCATTGCTCGAAGCACGCTATTGTTGAAATCTTGTGTTCATACAGTACTAGCTCGAAGCTTTTGTTTTAGACAGATCTGCCTAGCAAAGTGAGCCATATAAGTTGGAATTAGATTGCTTGTCACAGTTGACCGTTGTAACTGTTGATGTGATGACGCGATGCCCCTGTTGCTTCATAACTTATCATAGATATCTCCAAAGCTCTTTGCAAGTTGTGGCACACACACAAAATGAACAGTCCAAACGCCATGACTTCCGCACCTCGATGTCGAGAAGGATGATGATAACCATGACCTCTCACTTCCAAAATGCTTTGCGCCCTCACTATAGCATTGTGGCTTATTGGAAGTGAGTGCAATTGAGGAAGGGGGCCGGGTAAGGTCATATTTGTGGCGATCGACCCAATGGCCTGATCGCAGCGACCTTTCAATTTAGCAAGGTGTTTAGGCATCCTTTGTGTGGGCGCCTTGGAGTGCACCTTTGGCACTCGCTTGCAAAAAAGTGGTTGGGGTTGGGGTTGGGGTGGGTTGGGGGTGGGGGCTAAAGTGCCACATTTCGGCAGGCTACCAGTGATTAGCAAATTCGGCTATCACAGTGCAGAGTACACGCGAATGCCACCCGCAATGAGGCTCCTGCGTGATCTTGAGGGATTGACGGGTCGACAATTGGGGGTCTGGTAGTTCCTCAGTAAGGTCGGTGCTATTCTAGTGACTAGAAACAACTGTAGAAAACTTCCAATTCGGCCCACACGGCAGCAAAGTGTGTGCATATGCACCACTCAAGCGAGCGTGGCTGCACGAGCAACATGTATTTTCCTTTATTGATAGATCACCAAAAATTGGAAAAATTTTAAGCTGGTACAAGTTACAATGGCCGCGAGCTTGCATTATTGACTGATGTCCAGAAACAACAGGGAAATCTGTAGGTGACTGCTCATCGCGAACGCTTAATGTATAAAGAAGAAAATTCCACGTGACATGAAAATATCGTCTGGTTTTCATGACTTTTGACACCTTAAAGCAAGAAATAAGCTCACCGATTCTCTTGCTTGAGCTGACTCTCTTCCTCTTGCTGGCTGTTCCTGTTTGGATGAATTGAGGCACTGCAGAAAGGGTTGGCAATCAAATGTCAGAAAGTATCATGGAGCAAAAGCAGTTGCGTACAACAGAGGAGCACAACTCAAGTAGTGTACCTTATTCCCTGCTGAAATGGTGTCTCTTATCCAAGGTAGAAAGCTGACCACGGATGTATAGACGGCTGCTCGATCACGCATCTGCAGCCCAATATCGCACTTATCTCCGAAGGAAATGACTCCAATAATTTCATCCAATTCAGGGTTGCCACTTGAGTAGCTGCCATTGCCTGCATCCACAATTAGGAGTGGCCCTCCAGAATCACCTGATACATACAAGTTTGCTTTCTTAGATTGACATCCACAAACAGTGTGCAAATCAACAAATACGTGGCACTGGGAATCTCGATAGCTCCGAAAATCTGTCTGTAGATAACAATTGCCCAGCAAAGCCCAGATTCCTTGGATCTAAATAGGGGGAATAGTCTTCTCACCTTGGCACACATTTTGGCTATATGAGAAGCCACAAATCATATGCCTCTTGAGATATCCCTTCACGTTTTCTGGACAGAATGCATGATCCAGAATTGCAATATCCATTGCAATGCGCAGAGAGCTCGGAAACCGGGTGCCTTCCATGCCATCAGTGTGATAGTCGTGAAGGCCCCATCCAAGCACAGACACTATTGTGTTGTGCCCATAGCTGTTGTTTTCATGCGGAAGGCTTGGAATTGCCACATTCTTAATTTCCTTTTGGAGTATTCCCAAGGCTATGTCATGTCCATCAGTCTCGTTTCCGTTCCAGGCTGGGGGAAAGCACATTCTCTCCACTCTTGTAACCTGAAGCAAAGGTTGACGATTTTTGGTTAGAAAATGTTTTGCAAAATGACAAGGCAAACGTGGTACGCTTAAAAAATCTTGTGCATTATAAATTCGTGCTTTCTGCAATTCGCACAACATGCAAGAGTATAACTTATATTGTTATAGAGTCCAGACATTTATGGTGCCTCATGAACTGTTCTCTTCACCAACTTCACCTGCCCATGGAATTTGCTGCTGTTGGTCACTATCATCTACATGATGGTGGAGTATTGCACATATACAAATGAACACAAGAATGCCAGTGAGGACCAATTGTGGTGGCGATCAAATTTTTATTTGTTCCCAGAGTTCATGCTATTTCTGGAGGGTGAAATATTGGGCCAATTTCGATGTATCTTGCACAGTGGTTCTCCAACACCAGGCTTGTTATTTACGTTTACATTTCCACGTGCAAAAACGTAAATTTGCGAAAGGTACAATTATTACGGCTCTATTTACGTTTTACGGCTCGTTGTGACACCCGGTCTACACAATAAAAGTTGCTACGTGATAAAAGTCGTGTACAATGATTAGTCCTCCACCCCCTGGAACACCCGCAACACAGCATCGATCGTGCACTTGGCAAGGGCCACCATGGTGTGGAACAAAGTTCGTTTTCTGCCCATTCCAGCGCGACTGGCTGCCACTCCCCGGACTCCCTAAGGCTGTACGTACTGCCCTTCTCTACAAGGGGTTGTATAAACGTAAATATGTTCTGCGTTTATGGCGTAAATACCAAGCCTGTCCAACACAACAGCCATACAAAGCAAAGCAGGCAGCAGAATCGCCTGTGAGCCCTGAATTTAGCCACCGTATTAACAGCACGGCTGATCAATATGGGTCTACGTCTATGCACGACAGCTGACAGGATCCTTTTCCCCATGTCTATACAGCACTGCTGCTACTCGTGCATCCAAATTGTTACAAAAATGGATGTAGTGGCACCAAGAAGGACACTATAAACAGTGAATTTCCTTTTCTGACATTTTGCACCAGTGGCACTTTCCTGATTCTGTTCTGCAGTCGATGCATACTGAGAAAAGAATTGCCTATGACAATTGAGTACTGACAATCCGGAATTTGAAAAAAAACACAACCATCTGTCAGCACGGTACTTACCAAGCCTATGGGTGGTACTTTGCATGATCCTTTTAAACGCACAGCAATACAAGCACAAGATCAGGCATTAGCAGTTACTGGCATAGCAACTGCACTCAACCTCGTTTCTTATCATGATGCAGCATGATCGCCTATGCTGATAAAGTGATGTGCCGAAGCACGTACACACAAGTTGAAGTCATCGAATTCATGAGAATTCTCAAGCAATACTTGAAATAGCAAGCACACAACATAACAACATCAGTGCTGCTGACAACGGCAACAATTTGATCCTGATAGAATTCCACATCCCTTGATTTTTTTAGGGATTGCTGGACATGACCATCTTGAACTTCCCAAAATGTTCACATGTGGAAAGGCACCAAATGCGATAAAACCAGTACCTTCCAAGACTTCAGGACTTTGGAGACACGATAATGTATGGTGTACCTATCATGCAATACCCCTTCCAAAATCAATTAAACATGATATAGATAAAAGCATGTATGCATTTAATAATTTGTCTATTAGGACATTCAGTAAGTGTTCAACATTGAGGACATATGCCACAGCCATGCACAGTTGGTAGCCAAGAACCAAAGACGTGCTCATCATATCCTAGCACCAGGCACCCTCCATTCAAAACTGCCTTCCAAAAACCTTGGATACACATCCATACAGAGCCCAATGATCACTAAAATCGATTCTCGCCTATTCCATCGTACCTCAACACCTGGTGGTGCCTCAGCAATATTAATGCCATCATTCACATCATAAGCGCCAATGTGAACAATAGGATTCGGGCCAGTTTCCCTGGCACAGTGTGCAGCAGTCAGCACAAGCCTTGGGGCAATTAGAACTCCCCCACATTTGTGGATTCGTGCATGCGTGGTTTTCACAGTGACCATGTAGGGAAATCGCCCACGCTCAGCATCATTGCTGCCCTACATACACGACAAACAACAGAAACTACACTCAATGATGAAATCTGGTGCAATCCATGTCATCAGTGGTTGTGGAGCACATCTTCCGTGACACTTCACAGATAGTCATAATCTTGTTTAAGGGGTCAGACTGCAGTCTTCTCCTCATATTCACAGCAAATGCAAGCCGACATCCGATCCCTATATCCCAACATCCCAAAACCCCTTTCCTCCTTGTTCTTTTTCTCACCCTCTCTCAACACCAAACCTTATATTGATACACATTATCACTTCTGTTAGATGAGCACAGGCTGGAGCCATGGCGTTTGCACGCTGTGGCGCCTGGGTTATCTAGCTCGTCACAGAGGATGGCCCACATCATTGGACAGCACGAATACATAGTGCATCTTCGAAAAACATATTGTGGCCATTACAGTAGCTGTGAACACCCCCAGAAGATGGCAACATCCTGGAATATTCCTGGTCACACAAATAGAACAATCTTTGGGACAGATGTGGTTTGAGCTTCTTTCTTGCTCATGTTGATTTCTGTGGATTGTTTGATTCTCAGCATAACAGAATCAGACAATGATCGCATGAAGAGGAGTGGCCTCGCCATATTTCCAGTGTCTTTCCTTCTTGTGAGCACCACTGGAAATTACAACTGTTGAATATCATTCCTCCCATTTGTATGGAATGTACATGCTACGGATCTCATTGTTTTTTTTCATTTCATTCTTGTGCCTAGTTCCAACGGTCGTTCCCCATGGTGTTTCTGGCCTCTTTTCACATTATGCAACTAGATTGTGTGCAAACTAACACCTGTCCACACTTCAGCGACCACAGCTCGGATCTTTCAATATGGTCATCGCCTACAACGTTGTAGGACCTTGTTTGCCATGGTATTTTGGTGAATGCTGTTCACAAAATTTATGGGTCTGCCCTTCAATTTATGGCAAGCATGGCATAACCACCCCATTGCACCATCAACAGTGCCAATGATTTCTTACGTTTGACAACCATGAAATACAGTTCTAGATGTCAATTGCTATTAACTGCTGAAGCAACTGGTACAGAATGAAACATCTCCTTGAGGACATTGATCAACATGCCATGAACTTCAATACTTTGTTCCTAAGTGCACAAAGAATTGGACTGCAGTGGCGTACAATGACATTCACAGGTAGCTTGCCAATGCCTATGAAGAAGTCAAGCTGCAGCTATTATCTTTCTGAACCAAGTAATGCTTTTCTGCCTGATGTTTCAACGTTTGAGGACTTAAGACCGTTTGAGGACAGGTGACTCACCAGAACCAATCCCTCTGGGGTAGATTTTGGTTCTGTCTCAATGCCTGCCAAACGGTAACAAAGCACAAAAGTGAAACTACATTGCAACAGCTGTTTCAGCAGCAGACACTGGCAATACATGCTAATTATTTGTTATATTCATTTGTTCTTTCTGGGCCTGTGGTGCACAGTCCATGCAAGCAGTAGCTCCATGCATTGTAGCATTCATGGTAGAGAGGAACATCAACAGGACCATTACATCATTCTTTTCTGCCCTTGTTCTCTGTGCACAGTTTAACTTGCCACGTGATCGCTTGCATGACAATGGCACATATGCACAGAACACGAGCCCTATCTCCATGGCAGCAGCTGGGCACAGCTGTCCCAACATGACCATTGGACAAATGGGCCACTGCCATCTCTAATTCTTCAAATATAAAACATGCTGGACTACATTGTGAGGCAGTGATGAGTCCACTGCTGTTGCAGATTCTTGCAAAATGAGCATGTGCAAGATGTGTCCTGAACTACAAATCCTTGTTCAAATGGCAATGATCAATCAACTACCCTGACAGGGTCATTCTAAATCCAGCATTGTATTTACCACATTCTGCAGAGGTGCAATATGCTTCATCAACGTCCCTGGCACCGCAGGCATCAATGCTATCCGGTTGGGTTGAGCAGAGAGATGGCCAGAGTACAATTAGGAAGAAGAGTACAGACGAACGGGTTGTGAGAAAGCTCCCCATTCCAGGCCTGCAATGCATAAAATTGCTCCAAAGTCGTGGGATGTCAAGGAACTGGCATTAGAACCCAAATCAGTGTACAGAATTTGCTCAGAACACATTTTACATCAGGATGGGGAAGCAGTTTGCTCACACGTACTGTATTACACAGTCCTCAGAGGCCGTTCATCTAGAAATCCATCAGTTGATTACTCATCAGTTGAAGGCAACAATTCAGTGACATAAAAGTACTGCAGATTCACAAGTGGACACGGAAGTGCACACAAACTGCATGTGTGCAAGTGTCCCCATTTCATGCATCGGCAGTTGGCATCCACTGGATCCCGCCTCGACTTGAATATCGCTGACATCACTAACAATGACTGCTGCTAATATCACTGAATGCACAATAAGTAGGCCAAATAGATGATGACCACGACAAATACAAGTAGGCACAACAAATTCCATTCAACTATAAGATGCCTTTACTGCAGTCTTCCGAATTGTTTATTGCGGCAGTTTGGCATTTGGCCAGAATCAAGTCCATTTTTGATCAGTTTGGCCCCTGCCTGGAGTGAACCAGGTTGGAGTGAACCAGTGAAACCTCTTTTTTGGCACGAGTGCTAAGCCCAATTGCTGAAAACAGCAAATTATATACCAAGACATAATAGCATTGATTACTATGCAAGAGCAAAAGTTTGCTTGTCTCTTGGTTCCAATCCAAGCAGTGAGATATTGAGCACGGTTCTGCATATTCTATCGTGGCCTCTTCACCTTGTCCTTGCCAGAATTCAGCTTCACTGCGGTGGATCCTAACGGCACCTCACACACGATTGAAACGGCACGCTGCAGAGGGCAGCGTCCCCATTCCAAACCGCAGCCTGACGTCAGAGCCAGCGCAACGATCAAACATGGCCAGATGGCCCCACCGACCAGCAACTTTGACCCCCACATTCGGCAATGTGGAAACATCTCGGTGCGAGGAACGATCAGGGCGCTTCGTTCCTGTCGAAGCCTTGGAGCGGCACGACGGACCGCTCCAGTGGCCTGCGATAGGCACCTGGAACTGTACGAGGCGGCCTCCCGCTTTACTAGTTTCATTGTCTTTACAATAGTTTGGTCGCGACAAGGGCGGATGGCCAGCGCATCATCTACGTTGTTCCAGGGTTGCCCCCTCCTCCCACCTTCCCTTCGAGTTTGGACCGCTGACCCTCGGTCCACAGGGACCGCGTTCAGCTGATAGCGCTCATGATATGCTCCGAACAGCCTTTTATCGACGTCGAGAAACGTGTCCGCAGAGGTGAATCGGTTGAGAGCAGGTGATTGCCGTCAGACAGGCCTCACCTGGCACTCACAAGGGGGGTTTGCAAACGGACAACGTGCCCTTCTTGAAGAAGGTAACTTAACAGCCAAACACGCTTTGGCCAACGCCACCGTTGACCACAACGCGGTGATACCCACAGTGGATGTATCATCAGTCGGCCGAAATACGTCGACAATACTGTATGATTAGCGTCAATGCGGGATGTTTTGGCGGGGATGGTGGTTGTCTGGGCACAAACTTTGGGATCTAACCAACATACGGCAATGCCTGTACATTGCGCCCTGTAATACGGCAAGCACTTGTGTGGGTTAACTGCTTAGCAGGCTTGCTCCCAAAACGATACTTCAAGCATAATGCTTTTCCGTGTGCAAGGAACCTGGTTCAATGCCTGTCCAAAAAATTGCTTCTATATGGATATGGAGGCAAACATATCCTGCTCAAACTATTTAACATTTGAAGGCGTAATCGCAGCTGTGCACTGTACAGATATCGAACAACGCGTCTGTGTATCCGAAAGTCGGTGGTGAAACGGTTCGGGCTAGCCTTCCGGATTTGCGCTTCTTGTACCCAATTCGCACTTCCCAAGGCATGAAACTTATTATGAACTTTAGATTAAACAATTGGAATGTTCTGTGATGGTTCAGGAAATATTTAATGCAGCATTCAACTGAAGTCATGGCTCCGGGGCTTCTCCTCTTCTTCTTTTTCTCCAGTGATTTAAGATCTGAACATCATGTTCAGCATGATGCTCCCAGTTGGGAATCTTGCCCGTAGTGATGAGTTCCGGCTACAACTTGAGCACTCTAATTCATTCGTGGAGCCAACAAATGAATGAATGAATGGTAGATATGTAAATGCATGATAGAGCAAGCAGGTGAGTGAGTGCATGGACGAATGAACAAGGTACGGAATGAATTAATTCATCCATACACTATCATCAAAGCGATTACACAATAGTTCCACAAACCCTCTGCTGCAAGAAATTCTCGTAGGGTGAAGAGTTGCCACACGCCGGATTTCAATCCGGGATCACAGCTGGCCGGGTCTGTGCCGCCTCGTGCCACCGGAGGTCATCATTGCCATTTAATTCGTATATTAGGGGGCATTTATATCCATGTTAGTCCACCCGGCCCTTTGGGGCATAGGTTCACAATAGTCTCCTTGTATACACAAGCTAGAAAATACTAGGGTGTATTAAAACCCAAGCTAGTCCACTCGGCCCCTCTGCGGCATATGTCTGCCACAGTCCATGTTGGCATTGACACGAAAAGCTTCATTCAAGCTCTGTGAAACATGCCACATCCTTGGCATTAGAAAAGAATTCTTAACAAAAGGGTGCCTCTGCCTAGATTGGGTAGTTCTATGTTGTTTGATTTTCTCAGGCACAAGTAGGCCCTTAATATTTTTGAGCAAATGCTTGTTTGCCACTGGAACCTCCACAGGATGCCACCTCTGTTATAGAACTCTTAACTCGTTATCCATTTAAGGTAAAAGCTTACAAGGTCACTCTCTCACCAATTTTCAGATTCCTCGGTTTATATTTTTGCATTTTTTTTCCTATTTCCGGAAGCAAATGAAACAGTCTGCTGACTGGCGACATTTGCATCACATGCTTCGTCTTTTCTTTGAAAATTGAAGCATATCATCCATTCTATGTTTATTCAATGCCATAGAAAATTCATTGGGAAAAAATAAGATTCATGCACTGAGCAATACTTTGAAGCCACACGACTCTGGCCCCAAATTTGAAAATTCGGTGAGCCACCCAAATTGGCCCCCTGGATCTAGGAAAACCCCGTGCACGAGTGATACCCCTTTTGATGGCCGTCGCGATATCAGAAATGTAGGATTCCCTCGTTGGTCGGGCTTTAGCCCAGAGATCGACATTCTTCATGAAGGGAGATGGGCAGAAGCGGCGACTAGCTCTGCCCATCACCATCAGTGCTCGCTGGCAATCCGTGGTAGCGTCCACGGCGGCGCACCAACATGTCTGGGATTGGCAATTGCCAATAGTTATCTTGGTGTCTTAACACTAACTGCAGGATAGCCATGTGCATGAAAAACTCTTTACTTGGCACAGATCTCCCATTGATGGCTGGCCTAGCATAGGGAGCACCACCACTCAAACAGGCATCAAACCCATCAAAACCTAGGCCTAAGGGTGTGGATAGGCAATCGGAGGCCTCAAGCATTAGAAACAAAAGGAACAAATGATATGTGTCCAATTGTGTACGAAGTTTGCTGGTTGGGTTGATTTTGTGTTTTCAGCATGCAGAACATTCATGAAATGCATATATATGTGTTCAAAAAAGTGTTATTTGGTCCTTTCTTTGCTAGCGATGTGTATCTATGGTATCTATTGCGTGTTCCGACGGCGCCCAAGAGAATCCGCGGCGAAGGTCACTTTCAAAGCGACGTAAACGGAGCTCAAAGTGCCCTTCCGGCATGTGCACAGTATAGGCAGGTCTAGCAACCTTTTGACTGCCATGCAGCGAGATGGCGATCAGATTCTTCCAAGCTTTCGTGGTAGTCTCAGCACGCATAGCGGCCATGTCCATGGGGCCGGCCCTTTCTGAAAACGAGGTGACTGTGCAGTTCGCCGTTTTCTGCATCTCCGATCCGGAGCTGAAATCCTCGCTGCCCCATCAAAACCACGGTCGCAATCGATGATCAAGCTGTGAAGAACTCGGTTCCGCCGTCTGTCCTGTTTGCTTGGAACGTCTCCAACGCGCAGCCATGACGGTGGCTGCATATATCCAACCTGCGCTATGCACCGTTAGTCGCAAGGCGACCCGGTTAGGGCCTCCGTTTGTGGGGGTGTTCAGCGAGACCTTGAGAAGATTCAAGCTCTTGGCTGCAGTCACAACCGTTCAAAGTACAGCCATGTGACCATTATTCACCCGTTATCTATAAAAATTTGGCGGCACTTACTAAGCATCTGGAGGATGCTCTACTACAATTATGAAGGAAAATGGGCAAATGAGTGATATAAATGCGGCCTCTCAAGCAAACGGTTTCATTTAATTCCGGATGGAGGAAGTAGATGTTTAGGGTTTAGTTCCCTACTACCCTCCATGACCTTCATGACCCTTCCATGACTTTCATGTCTGGAAATGATAGGTATCGGACAATCCTCACCAAACTGGGCACGGGCGCAAATAGTATCACGCACAGTCTGTCATGGCAATCTTTGTGCCAAAAAATCCTGGGCAATATAGTTTTGCAAAACGTACGATTGGTACGTTGCACTTTTGCTCACACCCATCACATCCAATGTCTATTTGGTTCGAATGAAAGTACAGAAGTAACTAGCAAAAGGGCACAACGGTCCTGTCTATGTGTTTGGTGTGTACGCACCTGCCTGGGCGTGTTGTGCTGGTTTGTGAGTCTCCAGTGCATCTCCTCATACGTTTGGGAAATTGCGGCAAAGCTTCTTTGGGTTTGATGGCTGTGTCAAGACATAGATAAAGATCTGAAATGACTGTACATGCAAGCAACCATCCCGCAAGCTGCAACACTAACAAATGGTAGATGGCCCTTGTGGCGCAGCTATGAGCTGTAGTCGATGAAGGTGGAAGAGATTGAAGTTGGAAGTGAAACCGGCCTTTG